GGCCTGGTGGTCTGGGCTGGCCCTGAGAGTGAAGGCTCTGAGCTCCAGCCTGAGGATTTTCCTCTGGCTCTCTGTGTGGCCTCCAGCCAGTCTCCAGGCAACTCCAGTTTCCTTGTATGTCAAACCAAGACAAATACCTCACTTCCCACCTCTCTGGGGCATTGTAAGGCTTCATTTCTGCCACTTTCAGTAACGTGTATCCAAAGACCATAAGAAGAAAGCTTGAGAGACGCTTTAAGACAAATTCTTTTTACTATTAGCATTATCACTATATTGGCGCTTGCGCAGCCTAGGGTAGAGAGGAGGACAAGCGGGGAGGTGGGGAGATGAAGAACACGACATCCTCCCTCGGAGGAGCAGTGTTTGCAGTGGAAGAGAAACACAAAAGGGGGTTTGGGGTTGGGGTGCAAGGGAGAGAAGTCTACAATTGGTACCAGATGCCATCAGAAGCTAACGACCTGACAAACTTTGTCCTCATAAAACAAATTCCTTAAAAAGGAAGCAAATGGAAATATAAGCTAGTGAAAGAATTTGCAGCAGCTGCCCTCAAACCATTTCTCACTTCATAAACAGGTCTGGGTTTGGTCCTTTTTTTTTTTTTTTCTGGTCTTGGTCTTATTTCATGCCACTTTCTTTCTTGTGTGCTCCCCCATTGCTCCCCTCCATGCCTTGCTGCCAAGGCTCCACGGGTAGTTGGTGGACCCCCATCTTGGTGGAGGGGAGCTCATTTGGAGTATTCATTTTGTGTCTTAGCACCTATTTGTCCTCAGTGATACTGCGGACTCATTGGGTGAGGTTACTCAAAAACAGCACGTGCTCTTCCCTATTAATTTCTTTGCAGTAAACTGGCATGAACCAGAGTTTCAATGACTCTCTGTCTGCCAGTACATTCTGCTCAACACGCTGAAGAAGAAGAAATTATGCTCTGGACATCCAGGGCATGTAGGATCCATGGAGCTGGGAGTTCTTCAGCATCACTAGTGAGGCATTCTGATCTCATCCCATAAAGGAAGATCAGGTTTTAGCTCCCATACCCAGATATGTTAATGCGTTCTCAGAGGCAAAGATTTAGTTTCTGTATGGCATAAGCAATTATCAGGATTGGACTTGGGGAATTCATGCTGACTCATTAACAACCCCTGACTTACATATTTCTCCCTCTATCAGGTGCCATGGTGGACACTGCATCGATATGGGAAATAGCTGGGGCTCCAAGGAGTACAAAAGTTTCCCTCACACCACTCACCTTTAACCTCTCCATCCCATTCCTAATAAGCGCACATGAAATAAATGAGAGTGTCCTGGCATATGATTTAAATTCCATGGTTGTAAGGTTATGGGCAGCAACTTTAGCATATTCTGTTCAAACCTGCCATTACAGGGGTAAAGTCTTTTTAATCAACTCTCAATTAGTTCAAGGCAATATGTGTATATTCAATGAGATTTTATTTTCTACTTTCTTGTATTGTTGCCCAGCTCTTTGATAAAGTCATTGATAACTAACACAATGCAAGGGCAAACAGAGCACATTAATGATAACAAGACCCACAGTAATTATTTTGACTTAATTAGCACCACTGGCAATAACATCAAGGACAAGAAAATAAGCCAGGTGTGGTGGTTCATGCATGTAATCTGGGAGGCCAGGGTGGGTGGATCACCTGAGTTCAGGAGTTCATGACCAGTCTGAGCAAGAATGAGACACCTCTCTACCAAAAATGGAAAAATTAGCCAGGGATTGTGGTGGGTGCCTGTAGGCCCAGCTGTTTGGGAGGCTGAGGCAGGAGGATCACTTGAGCCTGAGAGTTTAAGTTTGCTGTGAGCTATGATGCCATGGCACTCTACCAAGGGTGACAGAGTGAGAAAGAAAGAAAAAGAAAATACCATGTTAGTCTTCGCCGTAGGCACTGTTCTTATTGTACCACTAGGCCTGAGACTGATGTGTCACAAATAGCAATTACTCAGGAAATGTTTATTAATAAATGAGTGGGACAAGATGGTTGAATTATTGTTTCATAATGATATTTTTATGTTTCAGATCCCCATCTGTCACTGTAAAATTTAACAAGTTTCTCATTTTGATAGCCTTTGACTTACTCTGACAAACTTAGTTCAGCAACCTTGTTTTGTGTGTTTACTATAGCACGGTGTATAGTGAATATAAAGAGGATAAGAGTCAATATTTCTCTTTAGCAAGCCATAATCCAGTTGGGATATTCAGCATTTAGGA